GGTTGTCATATGCTGAGAGACTGAAATCTCTCAAATTGTTTTTTCTTGAAAAAAAGAAGAGGTAGGGGGAATCTGATTGAGGTGTTTAAGATTGTAAAGGGAATTGATAGTGTTGATGCATCATATTTAACAGTGAGAATAGTAGGACTAGGGGACACAAATGTAAATTTTGGCAAGGTAGGAGTCATCTTCAGCTAATACAGTTTCAGGGTGGTTGGCCTTTGGATGTTGTAGAGGCAGTAAATTTAAGTGAGTTTAAGAAAAAGCTTGATAATTTATGAATGATAAGGGTTGGCATAAAGATTTCTTTGTTAATTATTTTAATTTAGTTCAGAGGATGGAACAGCCAAGATGGACCAATAGGTTCCATGTTGTCTCAAAACGTTATAGTGTAGCTTGGGCTAGGACCATTGTTAGGCAGTATCTCCAAGCAACAGGGACTACAATATCACTAGTGGGTGACAATGCATAATATCAAGAATTGATAGATAAGTTTTGTAAGAAAAGTAAATTAAAAAAAAAATTATATAGAATATTTCATTGACAGTAATAGAGCTGGACAACTTAATCAATTACTTATGAGCAGTGATAATATCGATTAATGCTACATAAAAAAACTAATTGATTATTTGAAACTTTGAATTAACCCTATTGCCCCAGGTATTCTGTACTGCACATGACACAAAGTTTTAGTGTCTTACATTCAAAATTTTGTTAAACTACATTTTGTTTGTGTTATACTAATTAGAATAGCATAAAATCTTAGCTAATAATCCATATTTTAATGGTATACAAGTTTTAAGTTCTTAATTCTACAAGGAAATATTAAAAAAAATCCTGAATTTCCACTAGTGTGACCAACATGACATATTTTGTCTTAGCATGTCATCCTTCCTGTTTTATCCACCACCCCTTGAAAAATACAAAATTAAACGTAAATTACTCTCTATAAAATTGTTATTGCTCAAATAAACCACAATTTCTTTAGTCTTCAATTTTGTTTGGTTACAGAGCTATCAAAAAGAAAATCAACCCCTTCAGCCATACCCACCTGTCACATCCTCTTTCACAATTGTTGATAGTTCTCTCTTATGTTACATTATATATTACCTATAACCAATAGAAAGCCATGGTTTTCATGTATCAAGTGATGTATTGTATAATGTTGTCTTCTGAACAGATAATCCACAATTTCATTCAAGAGTGCAAATATTTTCCCACGGGAAAGTTAATGACTAGCTTGGATGAATTTGTGATGGCTCTTGTCACATAGTTAGAAAGCCAGAAAAATTTTGAGAGATAACTGAATTTGTCTACTTTTTGCATGTTATTAGTCTATATTCTTTGGTGCATTATTTCATTAAGAAAAAATTATTTAGTGCATTACTATTAATACTATAAAAAATTAAGCTTAACTGTCATCGACAATCGAGAGCAAGAAAAAAGAAGATTGGTAAGTACTTTATTTCTTGTTTTACACATCTATACTTTATATATTATTAGGAAAGTAACTCAAATCTATAAATACGAATCTTTTTAAGTTATTTAAGACTAGATTAGGTAAAAATAAGTAATAATAATATATTTAAAATGGTTCACAAGGCATAAACATGAACAGCTCATAGTAGCTTGTGGGTAATGTAATTTGATAGCGTAACGTGACATGCAAGTTCTATGAGTGGTTTACAACTTTTTATGGAGCGGATATAGTTAGACATGGTTCAAAGGGCAATAAATCAATAAAATTTAATTATAAACAGATGTATAATGTTACAATCTTAGAGCTACTTAAAGTAAACAAATGTACTTTCATGTTACAATTTGAAGTCATTCTAGAAAGAAAAAAAAGGGTAATTTAAGTTTATTTTGATTTTTTTTTAGTGGTTACGAGGTTGGTCAAATTGACTGATCCCATTTTGAGATAGGGTAGAGAAAATAACAGACGAACTATAAAGTTTTACTGAAAAAAAAAACTTGAAATGCATTTAGGAGGTTTTAGGGATTGTACAAAGGAAATGTGTGATTTTTGAGATGAGGAAAAAGATTTTTATTTTTAACATGAAAATTACTTTGCACATGGACTATTCAAAACAAATACTCAATATATTCATGGACAAATCTTTATTTTATTTTCTCAAAAATACTTCACTAAAAATATGATTTTTTGTATGTAAAAGACTTGTAATGTTAGCTGAAAGACTGCCAAATTTTGTGAAGATATAATTTCATGAGAGTTGTAAGTATTAAATCTATAAAGACTTTAAATGAGTACAAAAAGGTCACATAGTTGGTCAGATTGACTGAGCCCATTTTGAGAGAGTTAATGCCATGAAAATAATCAACTAACTGAAATTAATAGTTTTAATTATTAAAATTTTTGATTATTCTAATAATTAATTTAAATTGATTGTTTTGAAAATAATCAATTATTCTAAGTTAGCTTCCAATTATTTACTGTTTTTAAGATTATTCAAACTCTCTGAGTAAGCTAAACATTGTCATTATGTTTGTTTTATGCATAAAAGCTACATAATGGGTATTGGACGGTTTTGAGGCTTTTACGTTTGATTCCCATTGCCACTAAACTTGTTCATCCAGTTTTAATTATTGTTAAGCAACTGAGGTTATCTGCTACTGCCACTAATTTTAAAGGAAAGGCAAATGGTTAGCAGCACTCACCTACAACTCTCTAACTACTTAAGTGTTAAGTAAAGTGTAGAATAACTCTCTTGTCTTAATATTGTCTTATGTTTTGAATTGATAATTGTGTAACTGTGTAATTTTTTTTAATATGGTACAAGCAGACATGGATCTAGGGAATGGGCACCAGGCCCTCCATCCTTTTTTTTTCCCAGAAATTAATAATCGCACGTGCAGATATATAAGAATGTGTCTAGAAGATCTGAACCCCCACCCCCTAATTTTATTTCAGGAATTAATAATTGTATTCTTTAAATGTTGTATAAGCAGGGAAAGATGTAGGGGTCTAAAACCCCATTAATTTTTTAACTCTCTCACTATGGGGTTGGTTAGTTTGACTGAGTCACGTGACCTTTATAAATTTAATACTTATAACTTTCAATATATTGGGTATATCTTCATGAAATTTTGCAGTCTTTCAGTTAGTATTACAAGTCTTTCACATATAACAATTCATATTTCTTAGTGAAGTATTTTTAATAAAATAAAGATTTGTTGATT